CCAGAAGGATGTCCAGAGGGTCGTTCAGCTGTCCGGTCTAATTAGCATATTACGCTTTTATTATTAGAGATCATCAATAAAATTGTATATGTATATTTTAAATGTATTTTTATTGATTTCAGAGAGGAAGGGAGAGGGAGAGAGAAAAATGTCAGTGATGAGAGAGAATCATTGATTGGCTGCCTCCTGCACACCCCCTACTGTGGACAGAGCATGCAAGCTGGACATGTGCCCTGAACAGGAATCAAACTGTGACCTCCTGGTTCATTGCTTGACACTGAACCACTGAGCCACACTGGCTGGGCAATAAAATTATACTTTTTTTAAAACAAAGGACCAACCGCCCTGACCGGTTTGGCTCAGCGGATAGAGCGTCGGCCTGCGGACTCAAGGGTCCCAGGTTCGATTCCGGTCAAGGGCATGTCCCTTGGTTGCGGGCACATCCCCAGTGGGGAGGGTGCAGGGGGCAGCCGATCGATGTTTCTCTCTCTAAAAATCAATATATATATATATATATATTTTTTTAAGTGAGCCTCACTAGGGGAAAGGTTAATGGAGAAGGGGTTACCACTGGTCTGGTCACATTAGGTGACTGAGCTACAGCATTCCTCTCCATCTCATTTCTCTTCTCTGTCCTCTGGCCAGATAGAAAGGAGGGGAGGTGGAGAGGACCTGCCCGCTGGCTTCGTCAGCAGTCAGAAATGTCTTGGTGACCTGCCTGTTTTAGTCCTAGCCTGTGACCCTGAACTCTGCTCTAGGGTCGTCTCCTTCTTGCTAGTTGATGGAATTGCTGATTCTCCTCCTATTAAGCTGCAGCGGGTTCTTGGGGAGGACTGGCCAGGTGCCGGAGTTATCTTTAGCTCGCCCACGCCGAAAATAAGACGGGGAGATCCAGCAGATGGAAGGAGCTCAGCAAAAGCTGGCCACGTCCTGACCTTTGTTCTCAGAACCATTTGGGCTCTTGCAGCTGGAGCAACACCCGCGTGAAGGACTCCTAGTGGACACCCTAATCCAAATTCCGTTTCATTCACGAGGAATTTGAGGCTTGAGACTAGACATAACTTTCCCAAGGACACGAAACGATGGAGTGGTGAAGCGAGGACCACGCACCAGGGCTCTGCCCAGCTGAGATGACAGCCCTTCCCCTTGGTGTAGTTCTTATCCAGCTTGGGCTTTAAGCCACCTTATCTCCCAGTCAAAGTTCAAGCAACAGCAAAAATGAATCGAGGAAGGTAATTGTCTTTTCCTCACCAAACCAAGGGGGTCCTGCCCATCTGACATCTGACCCTCCAATGTTCTCTGGTGTCCACTCCTTTTTTTAAAAAAAATATATTTTATTGATTTTTTTACAGAGAGGAAGGGAGAGAGATAGAGAGTTAGGAACATCGATCAGCTGCCTCCTGCACATCTCCCACTGGGGATGTGCCCGCATCCCAGGTACATGCCCTTGACCGGAATCGAACCTGGGAACTTTCAGTCCACAGGCCGACGCTCTATCCACTGAGCCAAACTGGTTTCGGCTGGTCTCCACTCCTGATCTTCTAAACTTCATGCTGGATCCAGGCCTCCCATCCAGCTCTCCCTCAGGCTACTCGAGACCCAGCAGGTACATTTGCAGACCCCACTCTCACGCTTCCCGCTCAAGGTGGGAGCGGACCAGGAGGCTGGTAAGAAATGGTGGGAAAAAATAGGACGCTTGCCAGAGAATCTACCCTGTCTGAGGCCAGTGCAGACCAGGCTGTGGGTATGGGAGCAACCTGTTCAACATCAGCCGGCCCTAGCAGGCACACCGTGCCCGGCTGAACAAGCACCACACAGTCCTCTCTACATGTTTACGAGGAGGCCTCAACCTCTAGCCTTCCTCTTGGTCCTCCAGAGGAATAGCAGCCCTGACTGTTTACTGGGCCTTAGCAACCGCAGCCCGCCGGACAGAGCCTGTGGAAAGTAGGGGAGAGGTCAATGGAAACAGACGAGCTCATGCCTGGAACTGCCCCGGCATCTGGGGAAGCTGCCGGGTCCCATGCCTCTGGCTTTGTTCGGCAAGGTCACCTGCCAGCAGAGCCAGGAAGCCAGACAGGGACAAGTCCAAGAATGGTCTGATTTTCCTGGTACTTTGTCTTTGAGGCGAGACATCTGACCCCAAGTGGACACTCTAACCTTTGTCCCCCTTTCCCCCGTTTCAGGGGCAGAGGATGTGTGTGCATAGAGGTGTGTGTACAGGGGGAGGGAGGGATAGGGGGGCCGGGATGTGTTCCTCCTCTACTGTCTTCTGTCTAGAATCTTCTTTGCTCCCATTCTTGAAGTTCCCAGGCTGGCATTGGTGAAGTATAGGGCGTTGGCTATAACACCAACAAAGACACAGATATGGCTGGCCAGAACATTCCAAACCCTGAGATATAATCAATACCTGTGTGATTTTTTGCCTATATAATCCTGGAACTGTGACCATCTTACTGCTATGAGATTTGGGAATGGCCCCTCATAGTCCCAGATTGCAATAAATGTGATTCTTTAATTTGATTTCTTGAGGCGTCTTTTGATTCTGTTTCTTGCAGATTTCTCCCTAGTCATCTCACAGGCTATAGTGTGACTGGGAAACCCAGGGGCGGGTCCTCTCCCTACCCCGACTCCACTTACAACACCTCACAGAGCTAGAAAAAGAACACATCAATCATCACAAATTGCTCAATACTGGAATGTTCTGTTTCTATTCCAGTCTCCTTCTCTGTTCTCTTGGCTGCTTCTACTGTAACACCTACTACTGCATCCATATGGGGCTTTTAAGGGCCTTCCCTCAATGAAGTCACAGGCCCTATTCATTCTTTGCAACGGGATCAGAAAGATCTAATATAAGGTTGCCACTCTCTGTCACTTGATGCTGCAGGAAATTCAGTGTGCCAGCCTGAATGAGGTTGGGAATTTCTTTCTTATTTTGATTGATTGATTTGAGAGGAAGAGCGAGAGAGAGAGAGAAGCATGGATTTGTTGTTCCACTTATTTGTGCATTCCTTGGTTGATTCTTATATGTGCCCTGACTGGGGATCGAACCCACAACCTTGGCAGAGCAGGGGCGATGTTCTAACCAACTGAGCTATCTGCCAGGGAGGGGATTTCCTGAAGGTTCTCCTGCATCCCATCTTATGGCTTTCAGATGTGCAGTCCGGTTGCTATCTGTGCTTGCCTCCTGATGCAGTCCTTATTCCGCACACGCAGCTAGCCTGTGACTGCTGCATGTCAAGTGGCTGGAACCAATCAGCTCACCGAGGGCCTTCTCAGAGCCAATCAGAGCCGAGGGAAGTGACCTCACCCCAGGGAGAGCTGTGTAGGCGAGGAAGCATCTCTCAGAGCTGAGTGTCCCTAAGTCACTCCACTCCACCCCACCCCACTTAGTTCCTGTAAAGCAACACCACCTCCCCTCTCCCTCCCAAAGAAGGAAGTGAGAAGGGCTAACTACATTCCACATAGGAAAAACAAAACAACTGCAACTTAGCCACACAGCGGCTTCTAGAAGCAGAGAACAGAATATTCAGTGGGCTTCACCTACACAAACGATTCCCAGGGGTGTCTCCGGAGCCTGGAAGCGGGTGAGTGTGCTGAAGAAGACTCAGCACCTCCCCCGTCTTCCCTCTCCACACCTGGCTTTCTGGACTCTCCCCACAAAAATAGCTGCAATCATTCTCTGTAAACAAGGACGAGCTCAAGGCCAAGTGTGGGAAAGAGAGGGCCTGCGCCCTGTGAGCACATGAGGACAGGCACAATCCCGTCCCGTGGCCGGAGGCTCAGGCACCAGCTGATCTTCGGGGCCAGCGCTGTTCTTCTCCGCTGCTCTGCACAGCCCCTCAGATGAGCTTCTCGAATGTTCCTGGCAAGGCTAGACTGAGAGCACGTGTCCCACCATTGGGGCGGGCAGGAAGGGAAAAGAACAGGAAGGCTCTGACCCCCGGGTGTCCCACTGGACTCTGACAGGGAGGGAGAGAATGGCTCAGCGAGGCACCCTCTTCGTTCCTCCAGCCCTCTCCCACCAGGCCTCACCCTGAACAAAAAGACAGATTAAAAAAAAAGTTTTTATTTAAAAATATAAAACTGGCCTTACTCCTCCTAACTGCTCCCACCCCCAATCCTCTCCACCAAGAACTATAAAAAGTGGGTGAGGGCATGTGTACAGCTGTCTCAGGTCTAACAGTTCCAGTTCTTCTTTCGACCCTCCTTTCTCCCTTTCATACAAGCAGACATGGGTCCCCTGCCCTTTCGCCAAGATCTCAGAAGTGACACAGGGCAGAGGCAGGGGAAGGGTAGGAAAGAGAGCTGTCGGTCACCATTCTCCATTTCCGTCTCCACAGACCAAACAGGTTATCTCAGTGGTTCTCAACCTTCTGGCCCTTTAAATACAGTTCCTCCTGTTGTGACCCAACCATCAAATTATTTTCATGGCTACTTCATAACTGTCATGTTGCTACTCTGATGAATCGTCATGTAAATATCTGATATGCAGGATGGTCTTAGGCGACCCCTGTGAAAGGGTCGTTCGACCGCCAAAGGGGTCGCGACCCACAGGTTGAGAACGGCTGGGTTATCTGGACACTGAGCGGAAGATCTCCTCGTCCACAAAACCAAGTAATAGGCACAGTGCCTCTCTGTGTCCTACATCAGAAAGGTACGAAGGTCCAGGGTGCTGTTTAGGGTCCTTAGTCAGTAGATAGCTTCATCCATATTGTCATCACTGTCAACCCCAAAGTCCTCTCCATTGTC